CGAACGAAATTCGACCATGCCCAGGGGAATTTTATAGACTAGGGGTGAGAAGGAGAAGACACCATTCGCGGCTATTACCCAAAGCACGCAACTCTTCGCGCGGAAGTTTCTTCTTCAAAATTCGGTCCTATCCATCGAATTTTCTTTTAAAGAAAATTCGAAATTAAAATTCTAATTGAATTTTTTAACATAGCACCGAGCCCAAAATAAAAAATTTTCGACCCCAGCCAGGGGCTCTGCCCCTTGGACCCCGCAGGGGCTGCCGCCCCTTGAACCCTGCTCGGGGGCGCTGCCCCCGAACCCCCGCCAAAGGGGCGCTGCCCCCTTGGAACCCCCAGTGTGACAGGTTTTATATCGTAACAAACTCAATGAAGTGTGTACTCCGCACCTCCAAACTTCTTTGATGATTATTAGGATACCATTGGTCGTAGTTTTTCCAATTACACTAAAATATATAACATGGGGTAGGGATGAGGATTAAGAACAATCAATTTTACCGACGGGGCAACGTAGGTGCCCCAATCATAATATGACATTGGGTTCATGGGTCAAAAGAACCTTGCCGACCGTATATGTATATATATTTCTCAATTGGCACATAGTAACAGTCCTCAGATATATATGAATGGGTATTCATTCATGGATATGGATGTACAAAAAGAAGAGGGAAAAATAAAATAAAATAAAATAAATCAATGGTGACCATTGCAGAGCATTTGCAAAGTTGGGATGCTACTGTGGTACAGTCCTCCCGGCAGCCCATTTCCGTCAAAGCCGTCGTCAGGTAAATGACAATACTGCCCTCTAGCCATCGCCCCTGACTGCAGCTGTTGCAGTGGGTGCAAGGAATCATGGGGGCTCAGAAACTTGGGGGCAGACTGGGGAAGGGAATGTCCATTCTGCCCTACAATTTGCCATTCCAGTATATGGGAAGCACCCACCACTCTGTATGGCGCTGGTAGAAAGTGAGTTGGCCAATTTTGTAATTCTCCCTGTCTTGGCGGCACCACAGGGTAAGGTGGCGGCAATAGAATCTGTATATTTATCAGAATAGTTCCAATTGATGTCAGTAATAATAAGAGCACCAAGGTTCTCTCCTAGCTGATGAATAACGACTATTGGTGGTTGCGGGGGAAAGGCAGTGTTTGGTTCTCAAATGTTATCAGGTGACGAAAATGTAGTTTTTCTGTTTCAGTATAACTACACTTAATTTGCATATATACATTTACATATATGCAGAAAAGGACATGAGACCATGTTCTAATTTTGAACAGTGGAGAATATGAACTGATTGATATTACTGACCTGCTTGGATACACTACTTTGTGGTGTTGATTGATACAGCAATTCATCAGCTAAAGTCCCATGAGATCTCTGTAAGACTTTAATCAGTCGGCTTACATAAACATGTGTGCAGCTTCGCTTCCACGACTCCTTCAAACAATAATAAAATTATTAGTCATTCTTCATTTTTGTTCTTGGTTAAATAAAACTGATCCAAATATATTACTCTTTATCTATACAAACAGATACCTTTTCCGAAATGGATTTTGGGGTTTGAGTTCTTTGGGCAATGAAAGTGTTGTTTCCATATAGTTTAGACCCATCACCAGCAACACCATTGCTATCCACATTCAAGTTAGTTGGTATAAATCTGTGGAGTTGATCATCTGATGGTGTTTGGAATTTGACAGTTTCTTCAGCATTTGAAGATGGTTCGGAGCCTTCAGCTGCATATTCAAGGCACATTGTCACAGTTTCCTTTTCATTCTCCATAAATATTGTTACCAGAATGCAGCAAAATTCAGTCTTTTTCCATTTAAAAAAAACTCTGTAGCAAATAGACAATACTCAATAGGAGCATGAATGAAAAAACTAACCGTTTAATGAACATATAGAACTAGCTGCAAGGCCTGCAAGAGCAAACAAAGCTTCTGCAACTTCTTGCTCATCTTCGGTGATTTTTGACCCCATAACATCCTTATGTTTTTCTTCTCCCTTAATTCGAATTTAAAATAGGTATCCATTAATGGGGTAAAAAACATAGATAGGGATACAGACAGTAGTATTTTGAAACTCAGTATGTACCAAATTCAGTTCTGATTTCTTTTTGCTTTTCTTATGCTTCCCGTTTCCCGAAAAAGGCAACGAAATCAGTGCTCCATTTCTCTTCTTAATGGCTGCATTTTCAAGAAAACTAGTGTCAAACTTGAAAAGGAATAATCACATATTGATGCTCCCTCCTCAAATAACTTTACACTTAAAAAAGAAAGTTCTTTTAATAACTAATACTACGTAACTCTATATTTAGAAGAGTGAGGTTTATTCATTAAAAAAAGAGTTGAAGGTTTTTTTGTCAATGAGGGCCCTTCATTTTGGGGTCGAATGAAGGGTATGTTAAAAGAACTTCACTCTATTTAGAAGTTCAATAAAGTATGGAGTAAAACACAAGAAAATGACCAAGTTGCCCCCTCATTTATTTGAATTTCTCCAATCACGTATAATAACGAAAGCCATTAATAGGAAATAGGTTGTCAATTCATGACAATTTTATGATCAGCTTAAAAAGCATAATTTTACATTCATGGTCAGCCATTTAAAATCAGAGAGAGAAATGATTAGTGAACAACTCTTTGCATATCAGGGAATTTCCATTTTTAAAATGTGGGCAGGAGAAGAACCTATTTTAAGCTTTAAAAAAACTCCAAGCCAGCAAAGATGAACAATTACTATATTCCAGTGATTATAAAATCTGAAATGTCTAACCCGATCTCAACTTTCGAGGAACATGGGCATGAGATACCATTTTCCAGCCATCACAAATCTGCAGAAGTTCAAGTAGCAACTAGAGTAAGTCAGTCCAAATCTTCAACAAAATACTCCCTCCATCCCAAAATAAAAGACACAGTTCGGTTTAGATGGTTAACTGAATTAATTTTCAATTCAATTCATTGTTTAAATGGTTCACAAAATAAAATCATACATTAAAAAAAGTACATCAAAAGTTTTACAAAATGACATGACTCTATTATCTAATCAATTATTTTATGACCTGTGAATAATAATTGTGTTTTTTTGGACACATGGAGTATATAAATACTCATATCAATAGATAATATAAATTAACTCATAGTACCTTTTTGGGAAGCATAGATCTCTTAATATGGTCTACACCAACCATTGTGCTTACTCGAACTCAACTTGCCAATCACACATTTGGGTATTTTTCCCTTCCATTTTCTTCCCTGCAATTTATCCAAAATTAGGATAATGTATGGGAACAAAGAAGATAATGTAAGAACTCATGGCAGGAAAGGACCATACTGCCCAGAATACACAACAGCATGATGAAGAAAAGAGACAGAAATTGTCAGAAATTAAATAAAATTTGACAGCAGGTTGAGAGCTGCTGCTTTCATGGCCCAAATTGGATCCCAGACCAAACACAAACACATTCCACCCCCAGATCTCTCTTTAATCATTAAATTTATCCTTATCTTGTTAAAATTAAATAATTTCACAGTCAAATTATAGAAAGAAAAAAAAGAGCAAATTTAAGAACAGCTTGAAGAAACAAAAGTGAGGTATCAATTTAAGTCCCTTACGTCTGGAGATTCAGATGCTTCGCCCAACAAATAGACTGAGAAGTCTAAAAGCAGACGAAACGGGAAAAAATAAACAAAATGCACCGAGCATTTGACAAAATTAGAATGATCTTCATTAACAATTAATCCGAATCAGGATTCTGCAGATAATTCATGAATCATCCATGAAATATCTCAAAATTAAAACAACAAAAACAGTGTAAACCCCAGAAAATGACCAAAAAAGGGAAAAATCGGCAACAGAAGCCGATTTCCTTCATCTTCCTGTTCGAATTCAATTGTCGTATGAACACCCACCTGGTACACGAAAATTGAGTCTTCGGAAGACGAATTGAGCTTGAAACTGGCTGTGATCTTCAGGAAGAAATATGAATGTGAAAGAAGAAAAGGAAGAATTTTTAACAGAGTGAGTAACAGACTCTGAGCTAACTTCTTCTTCTTCCTCTTTCTCTTTCTCTCTCTCTCTCTAAATCTCCATTCTCTCTCTCTCTCTCTCTCGTCTCCAGAATAAAGGTGAAGAAATGCTGTAACAGACAGACGGGAAAAGCCGAAACTTTCGTTGGCCTTCTCCAAACCGTCACACGCGCGTACCTCTCACGCGCCTTCTCTCTCTGTCTCTGGAAATCTTGTTAAGGGGATATCTGTCCATCTGACGGCTGAGCGTGGAGAATCAATACTGACCGTCGGATCAGAGAGGAACCGATCTCACGTGTCCCTGTAGTTGGCCACGTAGGACTGAACTTTTCACGCTTTTTTCGTCCGTGCAGATCAAATTGACTTTTTGGACCACCCGGCCCAAGAGTGTCTATCTGGCCCGTTTTTTCGAATCCTGTACTCTCTTTTACTTGTGAATGAAAAAGAGTTCTAATTTTGTTGATTCAATAAAACATCAAACCAAATAATTGAAATTTTGTTTCAAGAAATTTTATTAGGGAGTATTTCACTAAACAATATAAAGTATCATTTCGTTCCAAATTAAATTACATCTTTACTATCCAATTGAGTAATTTGTTAACACTTAAATTTTTCTAACATATTTCGTACCTTTATTTTTTTCAACTTTTTTCAGTTTCTTCCAACTTTTTTCAAGAAAATATTTTGTATAAAATAACAAATTAAATAATGTACATAATTATGGTGTTGTATCACACTGTGCGTTGTCAGAAGTCAAACCCTAAGTTTTATTAAATTTTGTTGAATGAAAAAAAATAAAGTCACTCCAACATAATATCAAAGCAAGTCATGACTAAGCAACAACACAAAACCAATAAACGAGCTAATTGGGCACTATAAAAAACGAGTAAATTGAATTTTTGATACACTCAAGAGTTAGAGAAATGACATGAACGAGTAATTAAAGATGGCGGAAAAAAAGAGTAATTAAAGAGTGTTTAATTAGTTGCGGAGTAATTAATCATATCATCGGGAACCAACTGGTCTGAATATAAATCTGCAAATGAACCATGACAAGAAGCAGAACCACCGCCAGAGCCAACCCCCACGGGAACTCCCTCCTCTCATCCCCGCCGCGCCGGTACATCGCCGGCGGCCCGGCACCCCCGGCCGGGAAATCCCAATCAAACCACCGCCGCCACCTGCGCGCAACCGTCAAGATGTACAGCAGGGAAAGGACGAGCATGGGGACAACGAAGGAGAGAAGAAACCTGAGAGTGGTGACGGTCCGCGCCACCTTTGACTTGAAGTGGAAGTACGAGGTCAAGCAGAGGAAGAATGTCGCGAGGACGAAGAAAACCAGCAACGGGAATGGCGGCGCCGGCGCCGATATTGAATCCATTCTTCTTCCCCATAGCCAACCCATTTTGTTTCTTTGTTCTTCTCGACTTCTCGTGTCTACTGGACTCTTACCTTTATATATATACAGAGAATCTGAGAAATTAAACAATACTCTCATTCGAAAGTATTCTGTTACACACATTCTTGTGTCATGCTAGAGTACAGTGTCTTCCTATGAGAGCATTCATGTTTCGCACGGACAAATATAAACGCTAATTGTCTGTACGATACAGATTGTGTTTGTCCGTGCGAAGAATGAGTGTACGAATATGTCATATGTGGTGGCACCTTAGCATTATTCTTCCAAAAGATCCATGACATTTGATTTTTTTGTAATTGTTTATTCCCTCGAACCACTTTCAAAGTTTAGAAGTGTTAATTTTGATATACCCACCATAGCCAAATTCTTTCATAGACCTAAGGTCCATATATATGAAATACTGTTTGGTTTGAAAGTAGTATGATATGAAATTTTATTCTGTATAAAAAAAAGATGTGACATAATTATTTATTCTATGAAATAATAGTGTAGAATTTTCTTTTTTCTTTTTTATATATTCCTTTATAGGGTATTGATACCCAAATTGCAAGTCAAATATTTAAAGAGTGATTCCCTTTGTTTTGTTCTGTCATATCCTATGTGGCTATCTAATTCTTAATTGTTATTAGACCCACTTCAAAAAGATGAGGAAAAACTTTTTTAGGCTAAAAAATCCAATTAGATCATACTCGGTAGTTTTTTAAACAAAGGAAATCGGTCTTTTTCTATTTGAGTTTTGTCTATATTGGCCTTATTGGGTGCGTTTGCCAATGGCCTTATTTGAAAAGATAATGTTAATGCTAAAAATCACTTGATTTTAACTAAAACATACTATTTCAAAATTTAAAACCTACTCATGCACCCTTTATATTTCGCCAAATGCTAAAGCGTTATGTTGTTTATTGACGAGATGGAGAAGAATCGAAAAAAAGATAGCTCAACCCCCCGAGGGCTCTTCAAACCGACCAGACGGTCACTAAGAAATAAATTAAACTTTAACTGTGGCTTGATTGCGGGGGTAGAGCTTGCACCTGGTACTTGTAGAGGCCTTATGTTTAATATAGTTGCCTCCCAGCGTAGTTGTCAGGAACCAAACTCGAATCTACTCTCTTAAGACTTTCTGCTTTTGCTAACTGCGCAACGCCCACCGACAGATGGAAAAGAATAGAGGAATGGCGTGGAATTGTGAAACACCTTCCCAACTAAAAGAACATTATAACACTTTGTTTTGTTCAAAGAATTCTTTTATTTTTCATCTCTAACCAAACAAAAAATTAACTAAATTTTATCTCATTTTGTTTTTCTTTTTATCAATTCTTTGAACCAAACACAGTGTAAGATTTTGATGTCATCGCTTGATGTTTTTTAACATTAATAACTTTATTGTAATATGGTATGTGTTCATAGTCACCACTTGATATTAAGTTCACATGTTCAACATCAACGAAACTTAACCTAATTAATACTCATCCAAATTTAGATCATGGTTTTTAAAGAAAAATTAATATTGGTACCCTCGATTTTCTGGTAATAACTTATAGGTCTCACATTTTCTGAAATACACTTTGGGATACCTCTAATTTTCTGGAAAGAACTTTCAAGACACGCATTATCCAAAATATACTCTAGGGATCCTTAAATTTTGTGGTAATGTACTCTGAGAACACATTGCGTTTATTTAAATAAAATTCATCAATTTTCAAAGTAAAATAACTTTTAGTCTAACGCCTAAATTGAGATAATGTACCCTTTGAGTGTAATATCACAAAATTTAAGGACTGCGTAATATTGTTCGGATAATATGAGACTTGGTAGTTATTGACATAATTGAAAATACCTTTTTTTTTGTTGTTTTTACATGGACTTCAGGACTATGACGTTTCTCCACTAAATTTAAACCAAAGCGCAAATGCTCAAAAACATCTCCCGATTTAGGCCCAAATGTACTGAGAGCTTCTTCTTCCCGTTGAACACTTGAACCCTTGCCCTCATTTCGCCGGAACCCATTCTTCTTCACTCTTTTTTCTCTGCAATTCAAATTCCTCTGGATATGGAGTCCGTGGAAGACGAAGACGACCAGTGCATCGGGAAACTCCTCGATGCCAAGAAGAAATCGAGTTCCAGCAACAATGCCGCCCCGAAATCTCAGCCGAAGAAAGCGGATGCTTCTCAGAACCTCTCTTCCAGACTGAGCTTGAACAAGATTTCTGGTGCCAAAGCTAAACCCAAGAAAGAAGATGTAGATGAAGATTTTAAAGATTCTAAATCCCCAAAAGTGGTTAATTTTTTATTTTACTTTTTGCAGATTTTGATTGTATAGTTTTTTTGTTGCTTCATTAAGAAAATTGGGTTTCTTGTTTAAGGCTCAGAAGAAGAAGGTGAAGAAAGAGGAGCAAGAGGATGAATACGCTATTCCAGATTCTAAACCTAAAACCGTTGTCAATAAAACACAAAAGGTTTGTTCTTTCTTTCTCGTGTCTTTTTGCTGTTTGTTTGGAATATATGGTTTTTCTTCTACCCTGACAAATTTATGGTTTTGGGTCTAAGGTGCAGACGAAGGTGAAGAAAGAGGAGGTGGAGAAAGAGGATGAAGATGATTTCAAAGATTCAAAATCAAGAAACGCGGTCAATAAAACACAAAAGGTCTGTTCATATATCTTTTCTTAATTGATTTTGATGTTATGGTTTCAAACTGGATAATGAGGTTAATATGCAGACTAAGGTGAAGGAAGAAGATGGGAAAGAGCAGCAGATGAGTGTAAAGAAAAAGGAGAAGAAGGTTTATGATTTGCCAGGCCAGAAGAGAGACCCCCCAGAGGAAGTATGGTTTTCCTATGAACCTTTTATTGCTAGATGAATACCATTTGAGCATACACGCACTCACACACACATGTCTGTGTATGTATATATATAACATTTTTCTTATGGTTTTGCTTTGCCAGAGAGACCCGTTGAGGATTTTTTATGAATCAATGTACCAACAATTGCCGGAAAGTGAATTGGCTGCAATCTGGTAACAGCTTATTCAATTTGATTTCATTAAGTTTTTGTATGATGTTCGTGCCACTGCTTATGTGTTTGAGCTATGGTTTCTTGGAAGTAGCCCTTTGCTGTGTACACATACCCTCCAAATACCCTACTTTTGTCGGACTTAACTTTTTTTCTTGTAGTGGTTGTAATGTTTTGTATGCATTGCTATCATATAATAATCACAATAATGGATGCATTGGTTCTTTTAGTTAGTTCCATATCTTTCATTATGTGTTTTTCATCATTTGTCCAGTGTTTACAAATTGCTGAAGAAAAGCAACATTTTTTTAAGGAATGTGCAGGCGTTTCCGAAGTTCCTTTCATTGATATTTACTTCCCACATCCCGACTTAGGCTCTGTTGGAAGAAACCGAAAAGGGTTGGAAAATGTTGGAAGAATTTAAGCGTTAAAAAGTCACTCAATTAAATGAACACATACACATATGTAAGGAAACTTCAACTTTGGATAAAAAGAGTTCATCACTGTTTGTGTTTGAGGTAGTATTTTATAAATTTGGATATACAGTGTTATAATATATTCATCATATATAAATACATTTTTTAAGTCGTTGGAAGAAACTGAATGGAGTTGGAAGAAATTAGAAGGAGTTGAGTAAAGTTTTGGAAATTAGATTTTCCAACCCTAAAGAACAGATCCTTACTTGTTAAACAATTGATACCCATCATTAGAGAGGGAGTAGGGTAAAGACACAATATACAAAGTAAATGAGCCTTGGCCCAAACGAAACGTACAGTGTTGGGTCGCAGCCCAACACACACTACCTCTACATGCCCGGGTTCAAGGCCCGATGTATCTATCGCGGTGCATTTTACTTTACTTTATGTACTCATCTTTCATAGGTTAAATGCATTTGGTTCTTGAGAATACATAAAAAAAAATACAATTTTTGGTTAAATTTTAATCATTCATGTTATGTTTTCATTTGGGTTTTCTCTGTTCTGCAGGATGATGGAGTCCGGGTTGCTACCAAAGGAGAAGGCGAAGCAAATGTTTGAGAAGAAGCAAAAGAAGGGAAGGATCAGTTCGCCAGCAAAATCTGTTGCAAAAAGGGAAACCAAACCGGTTGTTGTCGCGAAGAAGAATCAAACGCCTTCGCCAGCAGCAGCTCCAAGAAAGAAAAGTGCCACCGGTTCATCAGAAGCCAAAAGGCCAAAACCGTCCACAAATAATAAGCGCAAGAAGAAGGGTGGAGACAACGGAACATCCTCGGACGAAGACGAGGACAGTGACTTTGTCGATGTTCCAAGGAAGAAAAAGAAGACATCATAGTGTGTGTGGGGGGAGGTCATTTGTGGCATTTGCTTGGTTCTCTAATCTATAACCTGTGGGGGTGGACTTCTTGCTTTGGTGGTACAATTTTCTAACTGATTCAACATTAGAGATGGGTTATCATTATTGATTTTATTGGAAATATTGTTCCCCAGCATTAAACATTGTGCCTATTTTTTCTATTTGGCATATTACAATCATTACTCATTCTGATCATATCGGCGAAAGAGATCAAAGTCATGAAACCCTTAGACACTTGAAGCCTGTTTTGCGAGCTTAAAAAATACAAGTTCTGATATCTTTTGATATCATCATTTTTTGTGGGTTTAGATGAATTCTAAAATTTTCTAGAGATATGATATCTCGTGATATGATAACTCTCAAATTGGGATATTTTGATATCTTTATCAATTGTCAGTGATCGTTGCCAACCACAAACCCTTAGAGGTTGTCGTAATTAGGGTAAGAAGGGGGGTAATGCTGAAGGCGGCGGCGGTGATGATGTTGTTGAGGACGAGACTTTTTACGTCTCGACCTCGAGAACAACCCTCCAAAGATTTCAAATACGGACGCACCCGCGTTGCAAAGAGTCTCCCGATCGAAACAAATAAGTGATCGTCGGATTTCTCGTATTCGTCGTCATCCTCCGGCGGTGGCGGCATGACGAATGGAGGCCTGATCGGCTTCGCATTCAGCTGGTATTGTGATGGTGGCAAAATGCCACCTATCGAAGTCTCAAAAATATGGAGTATTTACTTCTTTTTTTAAATAATGGGTTTTTTTATATCAAATATTCCGTCATAGTTACATCTTCTCTAGTCACATTGAACGGAATGGAGCTTGTCAAAATTAATTTATAAAATAATCTAAAACTTATGCAAAGCTATTAGGGTCCGTTTGGTATATGGAATTGGTGGAATTGGAATTGAATTGGAATTGTAATTCCATGAGATTCAATTCCATGGAATTGAATCCTGTCAATTTCAATTCATTTTTTGCACTATCAATTCTAAATCTACATAATTTTAGTGCTACCAAACAATAGAATTGGAATTGAAGTTCTCAATTCCAATTCCATAGTTTGAATTCCATATACCAAACGGAGGCTTGATGTACAGAAGGTATGATATCCCTAGTAAAACCCAACTATAAAAAGCCTTTTTCCTGTCTCAAGATAAAATTCAACTTAACAATTATTAACAACAATTCTCTCTTACAAATAAATACTCCGTAGATTTTTAAACAGTTTTCTTTTTGTAACCCTTTTTTATTATAATGACCTGTGAAGCCAAAGTTAAGAATTTGATTTCAGAAGGAGTGTTTATTTTGATAGAAAAGTTTCTAATTCCATAACAATTTTAGATACTAAAAAACTGTTTGTTTTACTCTGCATTATATAAAGGAAATCAATTCTCAGAAGAAGAAGAAGAAAAAAATATGGAGGTAAGAATGGGCAGAGGCGGCGAAAGTAAAAATCGGCCGAAGAGAGAGGGCCCACTGTGCGGCTTCTTCACCGGAGAGGAGGTGGAGGTGGCGAGGATCATAGCCAGTCTCCCTCAGCTCATCAAGGCCAAATCCGAATTCTCCGGCCGATTTCGCGGCCTCCGATTCTGGCTGTGGAAGAAGAGGAGGTCGGCGGTCGCGTTTCCCGTTGTTGCTCCGCCTCCGACTCCGCCGCGCATTCCGTCCCGCCCGCCGTCTCCTCTGGCGGTCGAATTGGAATTTTACCGTCCGCAGCGGCTCCTTCGCAGAGACCTCCCTGTCGAGGTAAATAGATAAATCTCTCGCTCGTCGATTCGATTTCTTGTGTCGTCTTCGTCAATTCTTCTCGTCCTCTCGAATCCGTGATTTGATTGATTGATTTACAGATTTGATAATTTGATACGGAGTACTCGGATTATTCAATTAGGTCTGTGGAGTAGTTTATGGTTAATCACTTTTACTCTATAGACAAATAATTTTATCGGTCAAAAAAGGTGGAATCGCCCACCCCAGGCGCCCCCATCCCCTTGCCCGACAGAAATGGTGGAGGATGTAAATCATGGTGACTCAGTCGGCCAAGAACGCTAGACCCGTGCCCACCGCGCACAAGGAGCCTCCTCACCCTTTATGGGATTTTTTTGGATAGCTCCCACACTGCCGCTTGCGGGATTCGATCCCTGGTCATCGGTCCAAGATTTCACACTCTTGACCAACTGAGCTACCCATGCGGGCAGAGAAATAATTTTATGTTAACACAATTTGGGATTGGGGCAGGGGCTACTGGGGTGGAGCCGAGGGGTTTAGAGGGCTATGGGCTAATACACTCCATGTTAAAATTACCGTGGGCCAAGAACAACAGACGGAGTGTTAACAATTATAGTGTAAACTCTTATTTTGGTTTTAAAATATTTAAGATTCTTATTTTAGTACTACGTATTTTTGTAGTTCTTTACTCCTACCTAAGGAGTTCTTCTTTTTTTTACATATTTATTTGATTGGTCATTTAATTGAGTGATTTTTTCAGTATTTAAATTTTTTAATCATTTTCCAACTTGCTCTCGTTTTTCCAACATCCTAATTTCTTCAAACTCTTTCCAGTTTCTTTCAATATCTAACTTTAAAATTGCAACCTTAAAGGAAAATATTTTAATGTGATTTGACTCAAGTGACTTATGATATCAATTTCTAATAGAGTACTACACGAAAAAATCAAACTAGAGACTAAAAAACAAGGACAGTTCGAGGTCCGGAAATTACTTGGGAGGAACTAATTAACTAATTTAACAAGTAACAACGGATTCTACTTTGCACGAATGGTTGGGGTGGACACGGTACGGTTCCGGTTCCGGTACCGCCACCCCTTGGTACCGGTACCGGACCGGCCGGTACCGGTTCCGGTTCCGGTACCGCCGGTTCTGGTTCCGGTTCCGGTACCGTTTCGACCACCCCTAATTTTGTTTTTTTTTTTGCTTTTTTATTATATTTTTAAAATGTAAAATTGTAAATGTGTAATTGTTAAAGGAAATGATGAAATAAAAAAATCTAAAAATGAAATTGATAAAGAAAAGAATGAAATAAAAAAAAACGGTACCGGAACCGGAACCGCCGGTGCCGGTACCGAAAAATGGGCACCAGAACCGGATTGGGCGGTACCGGTACCGGTTCCCGGAACCGGTGGACCGTACCGGCCGGCGGTAACGGTACCGGAACCGGCGGTACCGTTTCCGGTACCGGTACTGTACCGGTACCGTGTCCACCCCTAATTCGTGGTAAATCCACTAAGCTAAGAAATCCAAATTAATTTTATTACTCGGTACAAATTGTAAAAATCCAAAAAAAAACACTCTCTTCGTTCTTTTAAACCCTTCCACTTTTGACTTTGGCCAAAAATAAGGAAAGTGTAATTTTGGTTGGCTTTCCAATTTTGCCCTTGATGTGATGGGTAAAAGTAAGATGTAATAGCTTGGTTATGAAAAAAATATGATGTGATAGGTAGGGTATACAAAAGTAAGGGTAAAAGTGGATTTTTAATAGAAAGTGAAAGTGTTTTAGAGAATTCAAAAAAAAACGAAAGAGGAAATGTTTTGTGGAACGGATGGAGTAATTAAATACGTATTGGGTAACTTTTTTTGGGTACACCATAACTAATTAGAAAGCTCGATCTTAGTTAACGTTATTGTTTCTTTATCATCTACGTATATCAGTTATAAGAGATATAACTCATAATTAAACTTTTTTTAATTTGTTTCTTTGCAGATTTAACATTAATGCAGAAGAAAAAAAACGTGACATATATACTTGGCAGTAACTAATTGTGGTGGAAATAATCAAACGTGTCCATCAATTGTGCAATTAAAAAATGGACACTTTGATGTGTCTTTCTCTTTTTTGAGTCGTTAGCTTTTTTTCTAGTTTGGGAAACTAGGCCTCTTTTTTTAGCTATATAAATCTTTGATTATTTAGTCCTTCAAGTTGAATGGTTTCAGCTGGGACCGGATATAAAACTTAGGAGTTTTGTTTTTTGTTTTTTTTATTTTATGAGACTAAGAAGAACTAGGAGTTTTGTTGGGTAATACCCCAAACATATTTGTAGACTCGATAGTCTCACGTGTTTGATCTCATTAGTCATTGTTCTATATAATATGACGTGAATGAGTTAAAAGTAACAAAAGTGTAAAGAAAGTAGTAAGTGGTATTAACAAAAGTGTGAGTGATTGTTGTGAATTAGATTTAACAATGAACATAACCAATGAAATAGTCTCATCAAATGCAACAAAATTTGAAGAAACTAAATAAAAAATTTAACTTTTAGCACAGATTATAAAAATTAAATTGGGGTCATAGTCAATTTCTTAAGGTAATCCAAATATTAATCTTAACCATTTAAATCAGAGAACTTTTTCAAAACGATCTACTTTTATATGTATTCACTAACCCCAATCTTTACCATCTAGTGCCCAATCAACAAGAATGTTTTCTTTTCAAAACCTGTCTCTCTACTTCTAATTCTAATTTTCAGCAGAGGACATGTTTCCTCTTCAAATATAGTGTATTTTCAAATTTGTTGAACCTTACTGATATAATTTAGGATGATGCTAGGAATCATTGGATTAAGTCATAAGACACTTTAGCTGAATCATATTAAAAAAATGAATTCAATCGATTACTCAATTCAACTCAAAAGCATATATATACAAATTATTTTCTTTTCATTTTTCGATGTGGGATACCCGTTAACACTCTCCATAAAGTGGACGATCATGTCATATGGAATCCAACCGACTGACCATTTGCAAATTGATTCTCATCCTCTTAATTTTTTTGAGCATCAACACCCCCAGTGAGTATAAACTTCTAGACGAGCAATCAAGTTAAACGACCCAAAAGTCGTTCGATATGCATTCCACACGGACAACTAGACTACTCACTGGGGCCATTAAGAATGGACATCTAGACGGACACATTGACAAATGAGATTGGCTAAAATTAGCCATAATAACATGATACTCAGTATAACTTTGGATAAGGGTAAGGAAACTTGAATTGAGTAATAAGATATCTTAGATGAATCACATTAAAAAATTGAATTCAATTGATTGTTCAATTTAACTCAAGAGCTTATATACCCATTATTTTTTCTTCTCACTTTTCTGATGTGGGATGCATTTTAACACTGATGCAGTCACATACTTTTGTCACTATTTTAAAAATAAATAACTAATTCTTGTATCCAGAAAAATGGAGCGAAGGTAGCACAATAGGGCAGAGACTTGAAGGTAGCGTCCCCAAATTTTTTTAAATAAAAAACATTATGAAATGACCAAAACTGTCTAAAATTTATTTTAGTATTGTAAATTACTACGCCTAATTTATAACTAAGTAAACAAAATAAATTTAGATTTAGATATTATGCTTGCATAAATAGATTACTAAACCTAATTTTGAATCAAATATTTATAATGTTTTAACATTTTCTTTATGCAGGTAGACATTGGCCCCGTTTGGCATCATCGTTAGAGATTAGTGTTAGCGTTTTGAAAAAGCAATCTAACGGTAGCCTTTAGTGTTAGCGTTTTCCGAATTAATCTACATCATTAATATTTTATCCAAAACGTTAATGCTAATTAAAAACGCTCTTCCCAAACAAGCCCATTAGAAATATAATTGGGGCTTCCTGATTCTTAGCGGGGGCATAAATAAGAAATTTTTAAAGAAATAATTCGGATGATTTTGATGTGAGACAAAAATTTTGAGATGAAGAGAGTTTATAAAAGTATAAAATCCTCGTGGGGTTAACGGCGTTAAGGATGCACTAGTCCACATGGGGTTGACAGCCCAGCAGTCTGCACAAATCGTCCTAACTTAACGATGCCTATGTAACGCGGCGACTAGAAATAGTTTTTTTTTTACCAAATTCAAAAAAATGACAAATCACCCCACCATTTAACTCTTTTTAAAAAACTTCGTGTAAAGTCATTATGAAGAGATTGTATAGGGAAGAAGGAAATGATTAGAGATAAGTCATAAAACTGTATTTATTAGTTACGTGGAGAGAAATAAGAACTATTCTATATATAATAATAAAAATGTTAGTGGTACATCAAAATGTGTACCCATGTATTTCAAAGTCTCTCCACCACACACTTAAGATGGAAAGTAGTGCGGCGTTTTGGCCCCACATAACACCTAATCACGCCGGAATTGTCAACCCTCCGGCTTGTGAATTTCAATTTTTGTCCAACTTTCGTGAATCAACTCATCCCACAGTGCAAACCTATTTCCACAACATTTGCTTCGCTATTCATGAATTTTTTGTTAAAAAATTACTCCCTTCGTCTCATGAAACATGAAACTTTTGCTTTTTAAAAGAGATTTAAGGGAAATGTATTTTGATATTGAATTTCCAAAAATGTCCTTTGGGGGATGTGTAAAAGTATGATTTGATGAATAGATTATTAGTAAAAAGGTATGATGTGATAGTTATGATACGAAAAAGTAAGGGATAAAAGTGATTTTTTAATAGAAATGAGAAGTGTTTTGTGGAACGACTAAAAAAAGAAAGAAGAAAGGTTTCATAGGACGGAGGGAGTATTTAAGAAATACTCCCTCCGTCCTTCATAGATCTTCTCAATAGCCTTTTTTCTTTGTCCACAATAGATCTTTTCATTTCATTTTTTAACAATTAAAATATCACAACTACCCTCACTTACTTTATTTATTACAACTCACCCACCTCATTTAATACACTTCACTCATTTTTCATTAAGGGTATTGTAGTAAACTTTTACCTTTTTTCAACTCTCCTTAAAAACCACCAAAAGTCAAAATGAGAACATCTTAGGGGGACGGAGGGAGTAATCAAATGAGTGAAAAGGGGAGGAGGGGTTAGCCATTACCCTATTTATATGATAAGACGTCTCTAGACCTGACAAAATTCGACCCGACCCGTTATTAATCCGAAACCCGACCCGAAATTAGCAGGTTTTGAACAACAATTTTGCGACCCAAACCCGAAATGATCCGAACCCAAAGACCCGTTACATTTTCGGGTCAGGACGGGTCGGGTCGGGTTTGACCCGACGGGTTATGCACTTAATTGCTTGTTTTTATAATTTATTTAGTTTTATATATTCATTTCAAATATGATATACCCATTAGGCTACTCAAAACTCAAAAAGCGTAAAACCTAATCTAAATCCAATATCATTCCAGTGCCTATCTCTCTTCTCTCTCTCTCTCTCTCTTTATATATATATATATATATATATATATATATATATATATATATATATATATATATATATATATATAGNGGTGGGGGTGTTTACCGGGGGGTTAGAGGGGGTTGGAACCGTCAATTTTACAAACGGTGCACTGGAGCGCCCTCGGGTCATCCCATGACATTGGTTCCAAATGTCATGGGAACCTTGCCCTTTATTTTATCTTCAAACTTTGCACGTGAACATTTTTATTTTTAAAATTATGTGACACTAATTTTTGAACTCATGATCTCTTAGTTAACAATACTTTGATACTATTTCAAGGCCATCATAAGTTTTTTATTCAATACAATTTTTATTTGATTATTGTTTGAAATTTATTCAGTTTGACTTCAAATAAGTAAATCCTTTAATATAATAAAGGAGACTCGGATGCACAGAAATTCGACATTTGGAATGTCTATGTGACAAAATTTAAACATGTAAGCATGCAACGTAATATCCGAGTAAACCAGCGGAAATAAATTATATACGATGCACCAGCGGATCTGCCGTTGAAAATAATTGGCCGTAGATTTTATATATACGCGAAAATCACTAGCCTTCAATACAATTCTTTCCTTCAGATTACAACAATACGAACTCTTATAATGATGATAATATAAAATAATTAAAAATAATTATGAAAAAATATAAATACTATTTAAAAAATAAATAAAATTTTTTTCAGTTAATTTAAATAGAATTTTAGGACCATGCTACATATATTAATCCTTTATCTTACTTCCATATTTAAAAATTACATACTTGACTTAATAAGTTACAATGGTTTATTGTGGAAATTCGTGTATAATAAGAGTTAAAATCAATAGAGTACCTATAATAATGGAAATTATAATATTATTTTTTACAAAAAGATTATTAAGAAACAATCTTAAATAATACTAAATTTGAAAATGATGATCACGAGTATATTACTCATCACCTTACTTATATTATGTATGTTGGATAATACTAATATTATTTTGGATCCGTTTACTTATATATGAAAATCTTTAATAATGTGTCTTGGATACTCAATAATATTATATGTTAATATATGTTTTCAGATTACAACAATACGAACTCCTATTACGAGGACAATATAAACAATTAAAAATGAATACAAAAAAATATAAATAATATTTATAAAATAAAAAAGAAATATAATAATATTTATTTAACTTAAATAGAATTTTAGAACCATGCTACATATATTAATCCTTTATCTTACTTCCATATTTATAAATTTCATACTTAAATTAATAAGTAACAAAGATTTATTAATGCAAATCCGTGTATATATAGGTTGAAATCAATAGAGTACCTATACTAATAGAAATTCTAATACTATTTTTGATTCCTTACTTATTTGTCTTACTTCTATGAGTATATATTATTGATCACCTTACTTATATATGGTCATTAACAAAATTTACGGAAAATCTTATTAAGAAACAATCCTAAATAATACTAAATTTGTAAATTATGATCACAAGTATATTATTCATCACCTTACTTATATTATGTATCTTGGATAATACCAATATTATTTTCGATCTCTTTACTTATATATGGCAATCTTTAATTATGTATCTTGGATAATCTATAATATTATATGTAAATATATGTATTCAGATTACAACAATACGAACTCCAATTACGATGATAATATAAAAAATTAAAAATAAATATAAAGAAATATAAATACTATTTAAAAAATAAAAAATATAATATTTTTAATTAATTTAAATAGAATTTTAGGACCATGCTACATATATTAATCCTTTACCAAGGAATTCTCACCATAATAAAGTCTTTCGTAAAACACAAAAGGTAAGTAAATAATTGAATGTGAAACTATCCTAATAGGGCCCTGCGTTATAAAATGATTCATGCATAGCCATGAATGGTATGATATGATTTGCAAGAATAGATTATTTCCTTAACACAAGGTGATTGACAAAATTTATGAAAAATGTTATTAAGAAACAATCATAAATAGTACTAAATTTGATAATTATGATCGCGAGTATATTATTCAGCACCTTACTTATATTATGTATGTTGGATAATACGAATATTATTTTGGATCCCTTTACTTATATATGGCAATCGTTAATTATGTATCTTGGATAATCAATAATATTATTCTCGATTCATTTATTTTTAGTAAGGAATTCATTATATCTAGGATGAACGCAATATTATTTTGAATTCCTTAGAGAGAAAGACTAAAGTAGGACTAAAACATTGAAAATATACCAAAATAGGACTTCCATGTTTTTATTTTCGAAATAGGACTTACATTACCAAACATGGTCATATACATTACCAAGAAAGTATAGTAATTTGCATATGTACACTGCCACATTCCCACAATGCAAAGTGACATTACCACAGTGCAAAGTCCTATTCCGAGAAAAAAAACATGAAAGTCCTATTTTGGTACTTTTTTTCTATGTTTCAGTCCTATTTAGGATGATTTCTAAATTCCTTACTTATATATCTTACTCGCAACGAGTTAAATTGCTCACTTTAATATTCAAATTTATGGAAACTCTTATATACTTGAGTCAAAATCCTATTATAAAAAGAGATATATAATGAGTTGAAATGTGACATCCACCACCCATTTTCATTTTCCATTTCAATACATAACCATTCGGAATTAATTATGCAATAAATAAGCGGAGAATCGTTCATTCAGCTTCTGTCTTTTGTTTTTAAAAGGATTGGTGGTAAGAGCATCCTATTTTTCAATTTCAATTGGGGCTATGAAAAATTAAGTTGACGATACATGAACGAGATCAGCTAGAGATGCAAGAGAAAAGATAAAAAGAATACTTCAAAAAAAAAAGATAGAAAAGGTAGGTACTTTAGATATTGTTTTATCTTAATATATTTAATTTTGTTTTATTGTTTTAAGGTAATTTGATACATAACATTTTTTATTTTTTTAAAATAACAAAATCAAACCGGATATTTTAGTGACTAGAATGTTTGTATTTAGAATTTATATGGTTGCTTTTTAATGAGCATTGAAAAATTTTCTTATGTTCATATCTAAATCGTTAGTATAGATAAATTAATTATTCTTAAATAAATAAAGTTTTATACAAAATTTATAATTAGATGTCAATTTTATAATGATTTAACAAATTCTCCATGTGAAAATGAACACTCCAATAAAGGATAAAAATATGTGTACTTTTTTTAATTATAGTCATGATATTTTATCAATTATAATCTGCATCCGTAAAAAATTAAACGTCGTTCACATGTTTCATAGAAATCATGGATAATTAAAATGTGTAATTGTTGATTTATCTAAGTATGCATATAGCTCACTAATTATTTTTTATCAATAGTTTATACATATTGAATATTTTAAATAATTGAATGGACCAATATTAACAAAGTTGAGTAAAAACATATTCATATTTTAAAACATTTAAAAAAAATTCAAAACTTTGCAATAAATTTGATATGAAATGGGTGAATATAAAAAATGTAAGTACATATTTAAAAATAAATGATATGCATGCGAGAAAAAAAGTTTGGCATTGATACGGAATGATCAATGTAAATAATTCAAAGTTCAAATATAATTTTTAAATTAGAAAATTTACTTATATCTAAATATAATTTTTTAAATTAGAAAAATTTACTTATATCTTAGAAAATTTTCATTTGTAGTATTAAAAATCATGTGAGAAATATACTTTTTTTATTTTGAAAAATAAATTTCATAGAAATAATTAAGAATTGACATAAATTTCTTTCGACTCCGTACATGGCAGTGGTCATAATATTAGTTGAAAGAACACCTATATTAGTAGAAAAATAGAAGGGCGAAAAAAAGAAAATTGAAAATGTGAAGACTCATCTTCCGTTTTTTGTGATCGAAAATAGTGTGTGTCATAATAAACCCTAAACTGCGCTCTCCCTCCACAGTGAACCGCCACGTGTCATCATCCCTGATGGTTTCCCTCTCTTAAATACTCCGTATTTACCCAAAAAGCCATTCCTCTGTTCATCTTCCCCTCTCACAATCCACTCCCTCGCCGTTCAATTTCCCGGCCGAATTCCGATTCCCTGCCCAACAATATGAACCAAATTCCGACTGATTTCCCGGACGCCGGCGATATTGAGGTTGCCCGCATCTTACTCGATTTCCCGATCCTCTTCCGCAAACCCAAGCCGCTCTGCGGCTGGGGCTGCAAGCGGCGGAGATCTAACTGGAACTCTCCCGCAGATAACGAGCATCATTCACCGGCTCCCGATCCGCCGCCGCCGCCGCGCGCGATTATTCTGGGTGGTACTGACTTGCCGGCGAGAAAAAGAGTGAAATCCGGCGAAGGCTTGAGTCCTGTCACGCCTCTGTCCTTCCCAAGTGAATCTGACGACAAACCTTCTCGCGCCCATTCTAAGAAAAGGGTATTACTCTCTGTAACTTTTTCTTTAAAATTTTTCAATAAATGTTCTAATGAATTGAATCAAAAATAAATTCAAAAAAAAAAGTTATACTCCGTATGATTTAGATGTTTTTTCATAAATTGCATATTGATTTTTTTTTTGAGTTGCAGAAGATAGAGGAATTGAATAGGAATGTGGATGAGTTGATCAAGTGCCGAGAAATGAGGGTTGGGGTTAGTTTCGTAAATTCCCCCACCTAATTTTCTTTTATTAATTTATTTGTTTGTTTTTCATTATGGAGTATTTTAATAATTTATTTTTGTATCAAATCTCTCATTGGTTGAATTTACAGAAATTGGAGGCTATGATGGCTTTTTATAACCACCAGAAGGCATATAATCTTAAGTTGAAAGCAAGGAAACATGAGGTATGGGCTCTCTTTTTATTTCTTTTTGCACTATTTTTTTATTTTCTTTTATTCATTGTTTTGTATTTGAGTAAGTAATTACAAAAAGTTTTCTATATTTAATTCATAGTTTTAAGATATTACAGATATAATCATACGGAGTATTTTTTAAATACTATTCTTGATCAATCTTTATGATCGAAAACCAGAAATTTTGAACTAAATATCGAAAACTAGAGAAACTATTTATTAAATTTACTCATTATATTTATATACTAATTAATTTAAAAAAGAAATTATCTTTAGTTGCAGCTATGGAGTGCGTCCAAGAAACGAGGAGAGGTTTGTGAGACTTCAGTTGGGCCCAATACGAGTGTGGTCCAACAACAGAAGAAGCATTATCAATGTGTAATGGGTCAAGGATTGCAAACGGGCCCGATGCAGGGATTGTCGGAGTCTCAGATTCGACCGGGCCTGTTTGAACAGCGTAGTGTCGGCCCAGGTGGAATGCTTGGCCTCAACGTTTCAGCCCAGTTTCTAGGCGGGCCTGCGCAGCCGTTGGATCTTGCTCGTAGAATGGAGGGTGATAAGAAGGCCAGGTACGCTGAGGCCCGGAGGAGTAGAATGATTAAGAATAGCCTGAAGAAGAAGATAAGGCATAGTGGGTCCCGCGTTATTACGCTTCCCCATAGAAGACAATAGTCGATTTTTGGTTTTTTTTTCTCTCTTCCTTTTTTTTTGGGATGTGGGGTGGGGTTAATAGTAGTGATTAGCCTTTTTTAAAGGATGGTGGAAGTGATTACTAATCACTTGTCAAAGTGTAATTAGTGTGGTTTTTTTTGAATGTCTAATATCATCTATAATCATTTACATTTAGTAACACAAATTTAGTATTTGTATATTTATCCAAGTTAATAAAATAATTTTAAATAATTTTAAAATTATATATAAATACACAAATTGTAAGTTTATTAAAGTCATGTCCAAGTTATCACTCATTCAATTTCTATTACACTTAAACAAAAATGAAAATGTCAGTCATAAACACAATTTTACAAACTTCACAAAAAAATTTGATGTTAAATTAGAATATTTTATATTATTTAAGTCAATCTTATTTCTGGGATAAGATCATCTCTTCCCCACTCTTTGTTCTAACTCTCTGTCCAATTCCCTCTTCTACTCACATTTAGGGGTGGACACTGTACCGGTACAGTACCGGAACCGGTACCGCCGTTTCCGGTACCGTTACCGTCGGCCGGTACGGTCCACCGAGAACCGGTATCGGTATCGCCCAATCCGGTACCGGTTCTGGTGCCCATTTTTTGGTACTTGTACCGGCGGTTCCGGTACCGTTATTAATTTTTTTTATTTTTATTTTTTTATTTCATTCTTTTCTTTATCAATTTCATTTTTAGATTTTTTTATTTCATCATTTCCTTTAACAATTACACATTTACAATTTTACATTTTAAAAATATAATAAAAAAGTAAAAAAAAAAATTAGGGGTGGCCGAAACGGTACCGGAACCCTCGATACCGGATCTGGAACCGGTACTGGCCGGTCCGGTACCGGTACCGGTACCAAGGGGTGGCGGTTCCGGAACCGTCCCGGAACCGTACCGTGTCCACCCCTACTCACATTTTGTCACATAACTCATTCCACCCTAATTTTACACACACTCACTCCTTTGATGGGTAGTGTAAAAAATTTAAAAATAGGGAGTGGGGGACAGAAGATCCCATCCTCTTATTTCTAGTAAAAAATTTAAAAAAGCAATTTTGTAAAATATTTTTTTGTGATTCAAACATTACTTAAACAAGAAATATAGTAAACAAATATTATATCAAACACTAACTCAACGCTAACCGATTATGCTAAACTCAAATTCAAAATGATATTCTTACACTATGTCTGATGAACAAAAGAAATACGAATTTAAATTTCTTTGATATCAAGTATCAAAAGTTGTTTAAGGAATAAAAAAAGAATTAGAGTTTCAAATCTAGAGATTTTGATAAATTAAAATAGTACTGTCACCATTTATTTGGTGGAAATAACTTTTTTTGTCCACAATAGATACCACAATTATCCTCACTTACTTTATTTATTACATCTCACCCACCTCATTTAATACATTCCACTCATTATTCATTAAGGGTATTATGGTAAACTTTCTCCTTTTTCAACTCTCTTTAAAAATCACCAAAAGTCAAAATGAGAACATTTTAGGGGGACGGAGGGAGTATTACTTTGGATAAATTAAGTAATGTTTTTAAAATTATTTTAAAAGAAATCAAATTGTTCAAAAGAGGACACTTTTTTTGGGAGGCGAGGGAGTAGAAGAAATAAAAATAGTAAAAGGCTCATTTTTTACACTACCAAATGTAATAAGGTCTATATGATTAACATGAACCTTAGATTCACGGAAGAATTTGTTATCAAATAAATATTAAAATGCCTGAATTCCAACTTAAAATAGACAAATATCAAATGAATATTAACATGAAGGCTTCTGCCACCTAAAAACAGAACGAATTTTAGATTTTACCCAATACTCCCTCCGTCCGGGAATTTTCTTTCCGTGTTGACTTGGCACCCTTATTAAGGAGTAATAAAAAAATGTCAAATTTCCAAAAATGAACATACTATAAACTTTTAAATCTCTTTTTCTTATTTAAAAAGTAATAAAAAAGTAGATTAGAGATAAAACAGAAGGGTATTATTGAAATTTATCTTTAAAAAGTATACTAAAAAAGGAAATGGGAAGAATATTTCTAGACAGAGGGAGTACTAGATTTTATCTCGTGCTTCGCACAGGATCACATACTTTTGTATAAACTATATCTATAAAATTGTTATTACTCCGTATATTATTAAAGTTGTTCTCGCACAAAAAAAATGGAGAAAAAAATTATACATGCATAGAAAGATAATACGGAGTACATTAACTATTTGTAAGTAACTTAGAAATTTCATTTTTGGAGAAATCATGCATGGTATCTATGGGGAGGATGTGTTTATTAATTTCTTCTATTACTCTTATTATTTTATACTTCACTAATCACCTTATAATTTTGATAAAAAAAACTTTATTTATTCTCTATAATTTTAAAACAAATTTTAAAAAAACTTTTTATAGAATGAAATAATACTCTCTACAATCTAAACTCTCATATTTATTACACTTATTTAACTATTATTTTATATATATACTTTTAATGTCAATGATTTTAATATATTTGGCCTTCACATAATCATTCACACAATTTCACAACATATTGTATAACTACATATTTCAACAACATAACTAAATACTTGACCTTACACACACACACACACATAATCTTACTCTCATTGATATTGTCTTTGTCAGAACATCAATGTATATACATTGGTAATACATTCAACTCATATATCTTTCTGCATTAAAAGCTAAACTAAACAATGCAATCTGTTTTGCTTAGCACTTCATTCTCTCCATGAAATACGCGGGCTTATAATGAAAGTTAAGTTTAAATATCGGCACAAGCCAAACAAAACACTGAGATATTTAAACAAGCTAACAAGTTTAGTTTGTTACGTTCCAATAATGCATAAATATACTGAAGAGGATATCACAGTCAATAACTGAGTCAGCTGCAGAATGGTGCAAAGTCAGCCATGGCATCTTGGGGGGCACTCTTGGCAAACTCTTCAAGGGGAACAAACAACACTTCTGAATTAGGATAAACCTGCTTCATTCTGTCCTAGCACCCTTCCAACTTCTTAAGCACATATCCTCCTTCCATGTTGGAATAATAGTCAAAGTAAACAAGGACGTTCTTGCCCTTGAGCTCAGACACATGCAACGCAAATGGAGGTCCTTGGTCGCGGAGGGCAATGTTGTGAACACCCTCTGTGGACTCATCAAACAGCGACTCTATGGTGGTAGACCTCAGACGGGACAACAGTTTTTCGACAAGACTATATCTCGTGAAAAGGGATATCCCTCCACCCCTAAATTATTCATGAGAACTCTTCCATTATATTGAGTTCCCCAGCTTTGGTAGCCCCATCCGAAACAAACAGCTTGTCAGACCAGTTAAAGTTACACATTCCCCATAGCCTCCGGCTTATTTCACCATTGTAAGGAGCGATCCACCAAGATGATATCTTGAGCGCATTCATGCCAAGCTTGGCATCGTTGACAAAGGATGTGAAGTCCCCAAAAAAGGGTAGAAATACCAGCACTACCTCCAACTCCAAACCTTGAGGTACACTCCCACCAACTTCTTACAACTCAATTCCAACACAGATACCGCCACCTTGTCATTGCCATCCCCCCAGTATGGCTGCACGGCCGAAGAAATTGCTCGTTGCTACTGCTACATTTCTGGAGAATATTCTTGCTGTTCGCACTACATTTCTTGAGAAAAAGGCAGTTCCCATCCCCATCACCAGCAAAACACATTTTTTTGTCCTCCCAGTCAGCAAAACATTTCCAGAGCATGTCAGTGGGATGGCAGCCTAAGAGCTCAACAAGCGAAAGAGGTGTGCGGGAGGCCTTTACTTTGTCCATCTCCTCGTCAGGGGTAGAAAATTCAATGTGAATAGGGTCCAGCCTCGTCTTCATTCCTTCCAATTCAACCCAAAGGGCATCAAGCCTTGACTCGGTGAAGGGAAAGTAACGAGATCCATACCAGAGGAAAAGGGGATCAGCAATGTCGCTTTGTCTCACCACCACCTGCTTATCATCCACAATAAGAACAACCATATAGCTCAATGCGTCGATCAAGTCGAGAGAACTGCAAATGAAGTCACGAGAAGTGGAGTCGGAGAAAGGGACCGCAAGGCAAGGGAAGGCGGAGAAGAAACGATTGAAGGCAGCCTCTTCATCTGCTCTGCTTGAAAAGTCGGCTTGGTCTTTCATTCGGGCAACCATGACCATCTCAAAATCATGTAGCTCGCATAACTTGGGGTAAGATTCTATCATGGCGCGACAAACTCAAGCTTCCCTGGCTCCGCTAAAATTGGGCAGAGGCAGCAAGAAAGCGCAGATGACGAGGTGCTTACCACGGAGACTTGCAACAGGTACACGTTCCCCACTGAAGCGGACCAGGTAGTCCCTCTTTTTTTGCTTTCTAGAACATAAGAACGATTCAATGCCGCCAGGTAAACACTTGTTCTTCTCGATCACAATCGGCTTCCTCTTCATGTCAGGAGGATACTTAGGGGCCTTCTCCTCCTCGTCTTCATCTTCATCCTCCCCCTTATCGTCACTACGCTTGACTTTCTTGTTAGGAGATTCTAAGCTCTTTTCCAAAGCTCTCTTCCTGTCATTGTTTATGGCATCAATCAAACGTGCGATCGCAGCACCAACAACACCCAGTTGTCTCTCTTCTTCCATCTCTTGTGCTTTTTTCAGTGTACTCTCAAGGCAGAAAATGGGCCAGGGGCTGGGAAACGTAAGACAGGAAGACGTAAGACGTAAGAACCTCGACCACCTCTTCCTTTTTCCAACCCGTAAGACGTAAGACTTCCAACCCATTGGATGATATCGACCCAACCCTAACTCCCCAATGGGCTTCTTCCCACATATCAGTTCCAGTAGCACGACGCCAAAGCTGTACACATCGCTCTTCTCATCAACTCTGAGTGTGTATGCATATTCTGCAAGACAGCCAAAAACATTCACACATGCTACTATTATCTCAATTAAACTTCTTTCTTTATTACTCAGGGAAAAAAGAAAGTTCCTTGCCAAAGCAATAAATTGAAGAAATTGTCAAAAATGTACAATCAGAGTGTACTTTGGGGGGGGGGGGGGGTTTGCTTTGTCTAAAGGGGAAGGTTACCTTTGAGGGGCATACATCGCAAGGCTACTCAAGCGTTTAATAACACTCATAGATGCCAACCAAACACTATCGAGCCCATGTAGTTAAAAATCATTTTCATATTCAAAACAGAGCAATATTTGCTTCAGTAAGTACTCAACTGTATAGAGGGACAGGGACAGTGGTATAGAATTGTTTGTGGTGGACTGGTGGTCATGTTCAACTACTCATGGTTTACTGTAAATGCTCGGAAATAAAAATGGCATTGACCTGAGTACCCAGACCCTGTAGCCTGGTTAATGAGTGTTGCTTCTAGTCAAAGAACGTTAGCAAGACCTCTGTGGACTTCCATCGCTGCATCCAGCTGCTCTATACGTCCTCGGCGTCCAGCTCCATGTGGATTGAAGGTGAGGCTGAAAAAGAGAGATGTGGGTGGTATAAGATATGAACGGATGAAGGTGTGAACGTGGGTTGCGTAAATCGATAACATTTCCCGCAGGGATTCCTTCATTACTGCATATCAATTTCCTTTTTATTATAAAATTGACATTGTTTTATTGTATGGACTTGATAATAAAAGCAAAGAAAATTCATTTCCTTGAGCCTCACTTGAGCTAGTTCAATTCACTACCCTGTTTAACCTCAAGTAGAGATGTAAAAAAATACTTGGATTCAACATAACAACATAACAACATAACAAACACAAAAATGCCACATATGGGTTGAAAACAGAACCAAACCAATTTTTAATCAAAATTAAAAACCAAAATCATACGGAGTATATTTTTTGAGAAAATTAGATACTAAATCCAACATTTAACACAATCAAATCTTAATCCAAATCAGTCCAAACTTTAACACAAAGACACAATAGACTAAAATAGAAGGTAGACATAAAATCGAACATAAACTTGAAAGGAATTGAAGAACAACTAGGATTCCAAGTTTATACCGATAAATAAGCTTTGGCCATTAGATTTATGTGATTTGGTGCAGATTTTTTTGTTTGACCACTGCAAGAAAGTCATAGTTCTCTGTACTTCTCCGTCGCCTATGCTCGCTGCATCCGTCGCTGCTTGAAACTAGAGTCAGCCGCCGCCGCTCGGTAATCGCCCGCTCGCTTATCCGTCGCTGCTTAAACCGTCGTCAACCGCACCCTCGATCCCCATTATTAGCTGTCACGATCGAAAAACAAAGACAGAAAAAATATTGTGTATGAGTGTATGACCTCGGTATTATCTACTCTGTATTTTAGATAGATTGGACCTCAAAAGTGGGCTTACCTTAAGGTCCAATTATTTAGATATAGTAGCAATTTTGTACAGTTGCCACAATAAGACTATTATTTTGTGGCAAATTTCTAATTGCCACAAATATTTGTAAACTATTTAAATAGTGGCAAATTTTGATTTTGCTATTAAAACTTAACCACAAAAAGTCATATTTTTTGTAGTGCACAAAAAATACAGAGAAAAGGTAATAAGACAAGGTTTATAGTGCAAATTTGTAGTGCAAATTTTTTGTACCGATTATGCTATTGATCTGAGGAACATTGACCAAACATCTGGATTGTGTAATAAGACAAGATTAATCGTTCAAGAGATGCGAAATAATGTTATCGGTGCAATTGTGGTTTCGGGAGATCATGTCAGGGAAAAGGTTTACATCCCTAAAATGAAATTGGGATCCAGGACTACCCTTGAAGTTCCAAAGAAGATAATTCTCGATTGTCTTATGTTTGCTATGACTATCAATAAAAGTTAAGGTCAAATATTATCATTTTTTGGATTATTTTTAACCAATTTGGTGTTCACACATGGTCAACTTTATGTTGCTATTTCACGAGTGAAGACAAAGACATGATCAAATATATTGGTTCTAGATGACAATGGAAACCCTTGCAACCATACTAAAAATGTTGTATACCATGAAGTCTTTTAAAAAATTTGGTATTAAAATAAACATGGTTAGTATTAAGTTTACTTTGGCATTTTCATCTACAGTATTAAAAATTATGTGAGTGATACATTTTCTTTATCCCGGAAGATACATTTCATTGAAATAATTCAGAATCGACATAAATTGCATTCGACCCCGTGCATGGCACGGGTCAGGATGCTAGTATTATATTAAAGGATGACATGTGTCAACATTTCAATACGTATTTTCATACTTTGAATATATTGATTTTATGATTTTATTTTATTGCTATACAATTTGTGGTTTATATTCCGTATATTATTTATGATTTAAATTGACGAATATAACATTTATAGTTATCTATTATTATATGATATTTTTAGTTAAATTATACGGAGTAGTTAACAATTGATATAAATAATGTTACCAAGATATACTATGTTTACACTAACATTCTTTATGATTTTAACAATATTTAGTAAATTTAATTTTGAAAAAGAGATAATCACTTTCATTAGAATACATTTTTCTAATTTTATACCTCTTCAAAACATTTATAATAAAACTATGAATTTATAAATGAGATTTTCTTTCTTTTTTCTAAAATATAAATGATTACGAATAGAATTTCTTCCAAATTTGAACGCCAAAGGAAGTAGATGCATTGACTCATTGTACTTCATTATGTTGAGAAAAATACGAGCAATAATTCTATATCATTAATCTTTAATATCTGAATTTGGTTCTTATCCTTAAAAAAAAATTTGCATGCCAAAATATTAAAAAATAAATTTACCTAAAATAATCTCATCTTTAATTTATTTTCCAAAAATATGTATTTTCAAAACATCCTGTCAAATGGCCGTTAGTTTTTTAACGGCAACCCAAAACTCGCATACATGCATAAATGTGAGATTTTTTTCGGTGACAGTGAAAAGTGAGATTATTTTTGGAAAAAAAGTGATGAAAAGATGAGATTATTTAAAATAATTTTCCAAAATAATTTAGTGATATCAATTATATATTTAATCACGCTACATCGAAAGATTTATAAATTATGTTATTACCTTGAATTATTATTGAAAATTTGTTTTAAAAAATATTTTTAGAATTTAAATTACCAAATTTTAAATAATTTAAAGGCAATATTTATTAGTGTGTGTGTTTTTAATAAATACTCTCTACATTTACAAATTTTCTTCGTTACGACGTTTGAATAAAATTAGTTTTAATTCACTTGATATGATGATTCATGTAAAATTAAATAATAAAAAAATACATATTTAAAAACAAGATCAAAAGTTTTACAAAACTAGAGATGATATAATTATATTATTTTCAGACACAATATGTATCAAATCTTTATTATAAAGCTTTGTTTTATAAGGTTTAAGGAAGGGGGACGAGATGAGAGTAATTTTTTTGCTTTGTTTGTAGAATTCGAGGATTCAAGCAATTACAAAGAAAGTGGACATTCATCTATAGGAAATCTAATCATTTTTTAAAAAAAATGATTTCCTACTACTTATGTAATCAAAGAAAATTAGATTTAGATTCTTTAAAAACTATTTTTTCTCACAACGAAAAATACTCTAAAAGTTAGAATCCAAAAGAACACTATGTTTAATAAAAAAATAGATTCCCTCCTCAAAATATTTACAACATTTGCTTTTTCAGCTCACGAAAACTTTTGTTTATTTCTGATGGAAAATAATACGTGGCTCGGCCCACATTTCCCAATTATTTGCGAAGAACAGTTAAACCGGGCCTGTTTAATAAAATAGAGGAATAAGAGAATATTCCTCCGTAGATGCTCTCACCCTCTCCTATAAAAAGGAGGGTTGCCCTAATTGTTGGAGGAGGCCAAACTCACTCTCTTCCCTGCCCATTATACTTTCTCTCTCTAGAGTTTTATATATTTTCTTCTTAAAGAGCTTGTAGCTCCACCATTAATGGCTTCCAAGCCCGATTCTTGTACCGTGTATACACCCCCGATATTAATAAAAATCTCTCGTTGGCAAGGTACCGCCAAAAAAGGCCCGTGGTTTTCTCCCGATTTGGGTTTCCACGTCAAAATCCCCGTGTTTATATTTTGGTGTATTTTTAGACTAGTTTATCGTTTTTAGCCGGGCTAAAAACGGTATACCGGTCGATAATTTACACCATCATTTTGGCGCCGACCGTGGGACCCGAACAAAAAGCTTCATCTTTGTTCGGCCATCTTGCACAGCCGAAAGTGTGAGAAACAAAAAAAAGGAGGAGAGTATGAAGCTTTTCTTGAATTTTGCAAAAAAACAAGAAGAAGGAGAGATCTTGAAGAAAATAGGAAGAATGGCCAGAGGAGCACCACCACGATTCTATGGTGATAGATGTCCTTGATCTCTCAAAGCCACCATTTTGCCACAGGGACGGGAGCCACCGCTGCTGCAATCTACCCTCACAACCTCCGATGAGGATAGTCGCGGTTAAAATCCAAAGTCATTATCAAATAGAGGAAGTTGATTGCTGCCACCGCTGCTCAAATCCGCCGTCGCTGCCGCTGCTCAGATCCGCCACCAATGATAATGCTCAGATCCGCCGCCGCCGATGCGCAGACCTGTCGCCGCCGATGCTCAGACCTGCCACTGCTGATTCTCAGACCTGCCGCCGCCGATGCCCAGATCTGCTGCCGCCGCTGCTTGGATCCGCCGCCGCCACTTCTCTACCTCATTTTCACTCTCCTCTCCGACCGCATGCGTCAACACAACCACTGACGAGGCGACGGTGGGATTTCATCACCTTCAACTTGTGGATTTAATTTTTCTCCGAGATTAGCATAGAAGCCGTTGAGGTTGAGCTCCAAAAGCCAAAAAGGCTCTCATCTTTTGCAGATCTGAAGAAGCTCGTTATTTCTTTGATGAACATCAAGGGGACTATTTCGACTCGGATTGGGGACAATTCGGAGCTTGCTCTCGTCAATTTGAGCTCGAATAGTCTCACGGGATCACTACCTGCTTCATTTAGTAAGCTGCACCGCCTGCACAAGCTACAAGTACTGTCTATCTACTATACTTTGCTTTCCGGCAAAATCGGGCGGGGGTTGAGTAACTGCTCCGAAAGTCTCACACTCCCACCGAAGGATGTTGTACTCCATTCACCGTCCTTTCACGCTATTGAAGAGATGGGTCAGAACTTTCCATGTTCTATGTTCTTTCCAACCGTGAGATACATAAAATAAAAGTGAGGATAGAAATGAGGAATCCAATGTTTGAGATGGAAGAGGATGACAACAAAGTAAGGCAAACAATTTATGTGGGTCTAGTGAAGGACGAAAAGGACGCTCCGCAGGAATCACAACCAGTGAGCTAAATTGCTCACCACATAGATACAAAGTGCAATTATTCCTGCACCAAGAGGTATCACATGAAGAAGTGGAGTATAACAAAAGTGCTTGTCCAAGTTTGTGCCCCCCCTTAAATAATTAGTGAGATTTGGTGATACATCACCACATGCAGAACGTGAGGAAGGGTGGGTGGATAACCCATTTGGCAAGAATGATTTAAGGCTTGGTGGGACCAAGTTTTCAACGGAAGACTGAGACACAGGCCTGGCCTGGCACGCTGGTTACTATACCGGTCTTGCTCAATACTTTGCAAAGAAAGGAAGGAAGACTGAGACACAAGCCGAGCTTGGTACGCTGGTTACAACACCGGTCTTGCTCAGTATTAAAAAAAAAGGGGAAGACTGAGACACAGGCCCGGCCTGGCACGCTGGTTACTACACCGGTCTTGCTCAGTATAATAAAAAATATTAAAATATGTGACACAGGCCCGGCCTGGCACGCTGGTAAATATCACTCTTGTGCGCGAGACAGGCCAAGAATAATATACACACCGGTCTTGCACATATTTTCTCGTAAGTCTGACCCCAATCGAATTGGGTACACCGGTGGCTCAGCTGAGCCCTTATCGGGGACGCCCGATTCTTCAGGCCCTTTGAACAATGCACTCTGGAAGTGATCTCTACATGACATGAGGATATTTGCATCAGTTAGCCGGGCTAATATCGATCTTCGACAAAGTTGCTGCAACATACTTAATACGTATTAAGTAACATCGATTACTTCGATATACTAATTTCGTTATGTATTATTTACTTAATCCGTACTAACATCGGTTTCGACGAAATAACTACTTGAAGCACCGCCGCTTCATCGTACTAACTCCGGTGTCGTATAACTACTCGAAGCATCGTTGCTTTATTGAACTGACATCGCTCTCATTACGATAATTATTCGCGCGAATCTTAATCATCTAACACTGAGCTCCTCGGTAAAAATAATAATTTTTTGAGCACGGCATAGGCCGGTCAAAAAAAAAATGTTTTACAAATTATTTTTTGCAGGAAAAAACTTATGATTCAAGAAATTAGAGAATTAATGAAGACTCGGAGGGCTAGCAATAATATCTACCAGTCAAGAATTCAAGGTACGAAGACTGAAGATCACACTCGGAGGACTTGTTTACTTTTTTAAGTTGATGATTCTCACAACTCAAAAAAGTGGAGGGCTTCTTGATGGGAAATAATACGTGGCTCGACCCACATTTCCCAATTATTTGCGAAGAACAGTTAAACCGGGCCTGTTTAATAAAATAGAGGAATAAGAGAATATTCCTCCGTAGATGCTCTCACCCTCTCCTATAAAAGGGAGGGTTGCCCTAATTGTTGGAGGAGACCAAACTCACTCTCTTCCCTGCCCATTATACTTTCTCTCTCTAGAGTTTTATATATTTTCTTCTTAAAGAGCTTGTAGCTCCATCATTAATGGCTTCCAAGCCCGATTCTTGTACCGTGTATACACCCCCGATATTAATAAAAATCTCCCGTTGGCAAGGTACCGCCAAAAAAGGCCCGTGGTTTTCTCCCGATTTGGGTTTCCACGTCAAAATCCCCGTGTTTATATTTTGGTGTATTTTTAGACTAGTTTATCGTTTTTAGCCGGGCTAAAAACGGTATACCGATCGATAATTTACACCATCAATTTCTATATTTTCATTTGATAAAATAAAATATTCTTAACGCCTCTTATTTTGAATAACTTTTCATGTAGTTTTTTGATATGTAATTTTATTTTTTGTTTCTATACCAATATGTAAATAAAATGAATAAGAAAAACTTGATATTTTATCTCAGAAATACAAGTGTAACAAATATTTAGAGACGGAGAGAGTAAAATATTACAAAATTATTTCATTCCACCCGTGCATGACACAGGATAAAACACTAGTTATACGGAGTATTAAATGATTGACACACAAAATAAAATAAGTGCATTTTATTAGCACAACTGCACAAGATTCTATCCATGAAATACGTGCGGATATAATGAAACTGGCACAATGTAACCACGGGGCAATCAAACTTCACTAGTTCACTTATAATGAAAGTTAAGTTTAAATATCGGCACAAGCTAATAAGGATACAGAAAATCACACCACTTTAGTTTGTTAGGTTCCAATATAAATAAATACTGAAGAGGATATCACACTCAATAAAACTAGTTACTCGCACTGAATGACATAAACAACAGCAGCAGTAGCAGAATCAAAACAAAAACAACCACTGAGACAAGACAGATAGTAAGAACCAACCGCTTCACGCAAATCGTCAATAAATCAATCAGTCCTCATCGAATGATAACAACTCCCATACGTAAGTAAGAACCTCTTCACGCAAATCGTCAGCAAACAATGAATCGCTGACCGCACCATTATTTAGGTGATTTTGAGCACGCCAACAGCAAAGTCGGCCATCCTCCCCGAATGCGAGGATGTTAGGCTCCACCCATCTATACCACCAAATCTTCTTGATTACTGAGTCAGCTGCAGAATGGCATCTTGGGGGCACTCTTGGGGGCCCTCTTGGCAAACTCTTTAAGGGGAACAAACAGCACTTCTGAATTAGGATAAACCTGCTTCATTCTGTCGTAGCACCCTTTCAACTTCTTAAACACATATCTTCCTTCCATGGTGGAAGAATAGTCAAAGTATAGAAGGACCTTCTTGCCCTTGAGCTCAGACACATGCAACGCAAATGGAGGTCCTTGGTCGCGGAGGGCAATGTTGTGAACACCCTCGGTGGACTCGTCAAACAGCGACTCTATGGTGGTAGACCTAAGACGGGACAACAGTTTTTCGACAAGACTATATCTCGTGAAGGGATATCCCTTGACCCCTAAATTATGCATGAGACCTCTTCCATTGAGTTCCCCAGCTTTGGTAGCCCCATCCAAAACAAACAACTTATCAGACCACTCATGGTTACACATTCCCCATAGCCTCCGGCTTATTTTGCCATTGTAAGGAGCGACCCACCAAGATGATATCTTGAGCGCCTTAATGGCATGTTTGGCATCGTTGACAAAGGATGTGAAGTCCCCAAAAAAGGGTAGAAATACCAGCACTACCTCCAACTCCAAACCTTGAGCCAAGCATTGTTGGTGGACCTTGAAAAGTTCAGCCATGAAATTCCCATCAATGCAGAGGTACACTCCCACCAACTTCTTACAACTCAATTCCAACACAGATACCGCCACCTTGTCATTGCCATCCCCCCCAGTATGGCTGCACGGCCGAAGAAATTGCTTGTTGCTACTGCTACATTTCTGGAGAACATTCTTGTTGCTTGCACTACATCTCTTGAGAAAAAGGCAGTTCCCATCCCCATCACCAGCAAAACACATTTTTTTATCTTCCCAGTCAGCAAAACATTTCCAGAGCATGTCAGTGGGATGGCAGCCAAAGAGCTCAACAAGCGAAAGAGGGGTGCGGGAGGCCTTTACTTGGTCCATCTCCTCGTCAGGGGTAGAAAATTCAATGTGAATAGGGTCCAGCCTGATCTTCATTTCCTCCAGTTCAACTGAAAGGGCTTCAACCCTGGACTGGGTGAAGGGAAAGTAACGAGATCCATACCAGAGGAAAAGGGAATCAGCAATGTCGCTTTGTCTCACAACCACCTGCTTATCATCCACAATAAGAACACCCATATAGCTCAATGGGTGTGTCAAATTGAGAGAACTGCAAATGAAGTCACGAGAACTGGAGTCGGAGAAAGGGACCGCAAGGCAAGGGAAGGCAGAGAAAAAGCGATTGAAGGCAGCCTCTTCATCCGCTCTGCTTGAAAACTCGGCTTGGTCTTTCATTCGGGCAACCATGACCATCTCAAAATCATGTAGCTCGCACAACTTGGGGTAAGAATCTATCATGGCGCGACAAACTTGAGCTTCGTTCATTCCACTATAATTGGGAAGAGGCAGCAAGAAAGCGCAGATGACGAGGTGCTTACCACGGAGACTTGCAACAGGTACTCGTTCCCCACTGAAGCGCACCAGGTAGTCCCTCTTTTGTTTCTTTCTAGAACATAAGAACGATTCAATGCCGCCAGGTAAACACTTGTTCTTCTCAATCACAATGGGCTTCCTCCTCATATCAGGAGGATACTTAGGAGCCTTCTCCTCCTCCTCCTCATCATCATCATCATCCTCCTCCTCCCCCTTATCATCACTACGCTTGACTTTCTTGTTAGGAGGTTCTAAGCTTTTTTCCAAAGCTCTCTTCCTGTCATTGTTTATGGCATCAATCAAACGTGCGGTCGCAGCACCAGCAACACCCAGTTGTCTCTCTTCTTCCATCTCTTGTGCTTTTTTCAGTGTACTCTCAAGGCAGAAACTGTGCCAGGGGCTGGGAAACGCCTCCTCATCCGCCAATGTCATCCCTAACCTTCAACACACAATCCCATAAAAATAATACCTCAGTTATTAGCATAATCAAATTAAACATAGGCACATGATACTGACGCAATCATATCACCAAAGTGGATCATCAGGCTGAAATTTAGCATAAACAAATGAAATAAACAAAACGGCAACAAGAGAAACACGAATTCAGCTGTAGCCAACAAACAAACAAATCAAAAAAAGCTGAAATCAGAGTGAAAGATGAAGCTGTGAACTTAACAGAAACACGAATTACAAAAACGAATTGCTAGATCTATGCTATGCGTAACCTATTTACATCATATTGCTGGCAACAAAAACCGTACCTTTGATTATTGGCTGTGGTAGACTGAAAGTATGGCTGCAGTTTTGGTTTTTTGTTTTGGTGTTTGGGGATATATGAAGAAACCGAAATCCAACTACTTCACGACTAAAGCCCAGGCCAGGCCCAATCTTTGAGCTACCTCCGTTTGTTAATAATGAAATCTAATGTTCTTTAAAAAAACTGGATTTTAACTCGTGCAGTGCACGGCAAAACGTTCGTGTGGTAGTGATAAAGGGTCTGTTTGGGAATAGCGTTGGCGATTAATGTTAGCGTTTTGAAAAAACTATGTACGGGTGGTGTTTAGCGTTCGCATTTTTAAGGTAATCTGTACCGTTAAAATTTTATCCAAAACTCTAACGCTAATCTCTATGGCTGTTCCCAAACAGGTCCAAAGAGAATGTAACGTCGAATACCTTATAAGTAATGATAGAACGATAAGTTTACTTTATACTCCCTTCGTCCCAGAGTATTTGTCCACTTTCATTTTTATACATTATCCAATGCATTTCTTTAATCAATTTTATCTTGTAATTAATTTGTATATTAAAAAATTATAGAAACTATATATTAATAATCTATATGTTAAGACAAATCAAACAAGATCACACATGACTATATTTAAGCTTACACATTGAGAAATTTGATGAGTCAAAGTGCTTAGATAAACAATTCCAAAAGTCAAAAGTGGACAAAAATTGGAGGACGGAGGGAGTATATTACATGCCAAATATTGTAATATTACATATTTTTCTTTAATGATTGACATTTTACCTACTTTTAAAAATAAAGATATATAACTTTCTGTTACATTTTTTTATATTTTTTCCTACTTTAAACTTTTTTTCTGAAGTATTTTGACTTTTAATTTTATTTTTTTAAAAATTACAAAAATGAAAAACAAAATTAATTTTTGAAATAAATAAAACGAGAAAAATTTGAGTAATAAAGAAAAAGACGAGAGATCTTTTTTCTCCACTCGTGAGAAAAAATTGGATTATTTATATTTATATGCGTAAAGTAGTACTTCCCACCCCATTCCATCATTATATTTTAGATTAAAATATTGATGTTTTCCTTATATACTCCCTCTGTCCCAATTTATTTGCAACACTTCGAATGACGTGCAGAATATCATTTCTTTTAAAATCACTTTAATTTCAAATTGGTAGAGTAATAATAAGTAAAAATTACACCATTCAAAAGTATATGAAAAGTTCTATGAAACAAGATGCGACAAGAATATTCTATTTTATCAAATGGTCAACGAAAACGAGTAAACAAACAAAAGTTATCGAGAGGCCAGAATAGTAAACGTGACATTTTTTCTGTGACGGAGGGAGTATAAATTTAGATTTAAAAAAATTATGTAACTATTTTATACATGATTACTTTTAAATAGTTTAAAATATTGATATTTTCCTATTTTATTGTGTATATTGATATACCAAAGCTAGTATTATTCATATTAACAAGTTGAAGAAAATAATAATCAATGTCAATCATAAAAATAGTGAGATGAAAAAATAAAATGATTTATAAACTATAGTTATGAATATAATAGTTGTAATCATAATAATAATAATAATATCGTTTTTAGCAAAATTGGTCGGGAAGTAGAAAAAGTATGAAGAAAATAAAAATAGATGGATGAAACTCGAAAAAAAACTGGAAAGAACTGTAAGAAACTGAAAAAAATTAGAAACAATTGAAAAGAACTTGAAGATACTGAAAAGAACGGGAAGGAACTGAAAACAAAATAATAATGATAATAATAACGATAATGATAATGATAATGAGAATTATAATGATAATGATGATGATAATAATAATAATAATAATAATAATAATAATAATAATAATAAAGGAGACTCGGATGCATGAGAATGCGACATTTGGCACGCCTATTTGGTAAAAAATGGAACACGTCATCAAGCCATGTAATAATAGAAAAAATCCTTTTAATATAATAAAGGAGACTGGGATGCACAGAAATTCGACATTTGACATGTCTATGTGAAAAAATTTAAACATGTCAGCACGCCACGTAATATCCAAGTTAACTAGCGAAAATAAATTATATACGATGCACCATCGGATCTCCTGTTGGAAACAATTGACCGCAGATTTTTTACGCGATAATCACTGGCCTTCAACGAAATTCTTTCCTTTAGATTACAACAATACGAACTCCTATTATGATGATATTATAAAATAATTAAAAATAAATATGAAAAAATATGAATACTACTTAAAAAACAAATATAATATTTTTCATTTAATTTAAATAGAATTTTAGGACTATGCTACTTATATTAATCCTTTATCTTACTTCCATATTTAAAAATTACATACTTAAATAATAAGTTACAAAGGTTTATTGTGGAAATTTGTGTATAATAAGAGTTAAAATCAATAGAGTACCTATATTACTGGAAATTAGAATATTATTTTTTACAAAAAATATATATTAAGAAAGAATCCTAAATAATACTAAATTTGAAAATGATGATCACGATGAGTATATATATTACTCATCACCTTACTTATTTTATTTATGTTGGATAATACTAATATTATTTTGGATCCGTTTACTTATATATGGAAATCCTTAATTATGTGTCTTGGATAATCAATAATATTATATGTTAATATATGTTTTCAGATTACAATAATACGAACTCCTATTACGAGGATAATATAAACAATTAAAAATAAATACGAAAAAATATAAATACTATTTAAAAAATAAAAAACAATAATAATAATTTTCATTTAACTTAAATAGAATTTTAGAATCATGCTACATATATTAATCATTTATCTTAATTTCATATTTATAAATTTCATACTTAAATTAATAAGTAACAAAGATTTATTAATGGAAATTCGTGTATATATAGGTTGAAATCAATAGAGTACCTATACTAATAGAAATTCCAATACTATTTTTGATTCCTTACTTATTCGTCTTAATTCCATGAGTATATATTATTGATCACCTTACTTATATATGGTCATTAACAAAATTTACGGAAAATCTTATTAAGAAACAATCCTAAATAATACTAAATTTGTAAATTATGATCACGAGTATATTATTCATCATGTTACTTATATTATGTATCTTGGATAATACTAATATTATTTTCGATATCTTTACTTATATATGGCAATCCTTAATTATGTATCTTGGATAATCAATAATATTATATGTAAATATCTGTATTCAGATTACAACAATACGAACTCCAACTACGATGATAATATAAAAAATTAAAAATAAATATGAAGAAATATAAATACAATTTAAAAAATAAAAAAAGAATATTTTTAATTAATTTAAATAGAATTTTAGGACCATGCTACATATATTAATCCTTTATCAAGGAATTCTCACCATAATAAAGTCATTCCTAAAATACAAATGGTAAGTAAATAATTAAATGTGAAACTATCCTAATACGACCGTGCATTAGAAAATGATTCTTGCATAGCAATGAATGGTATGATATGATTTCAAAAATAGATTATTTCCTTAACATATGGTGATTGAAAAAATTTACGAAAAGTATTATTAAGAAACAATCCTAAATAGTACTAAATTTGAAAATTATAATTACAAATATATTATTCATCACCTTACTTATATTATGTTTGTTGGATAATACTTATATTATTTTGGATCTATTTACTTATATATGGAAATCGTTAATTATGTATCTTGAATAATGAGTAATATTATTCTGGATTCGTTTATTTTTAGTAAGAAATTCGTTATATCTAGGATGGACCCAATATTATTTTGAATTCCTTACTTATGTACGGAGTATCTAACTGGCAATGAGTTAAATTACTCACTTTTATATCCAAATTTATGGAAACTCTTATATACTTGGGTTAAAATCCTTTTAGAAAAAGAGATATATAATGAGTTGAAATGATGATGACGATGGAAGAGAAGACGAGGTGGACGAAGAAGAAGAAGAAGAAGAAGATGATGATGATGATGATGATGATGATGATGGCAATGGTGAAGAAGAAGAAGAAGAAGACATTGACGAAGAACAACTTCTCAATGATCTTTTTCCCCAGATTTCTAGAGCTCTAGCTCTACTTTCTTCTCTTCCTTATTTTATAATTTTTAATGCTTTCGCTATGTACTCCGCTTTTTCCCTTAATTAATTAATAAAAATCTTTATGATTTTTGTTGTTAACAATCTTTTTGTTAATGTCAAAAGGGGGAAGATAAGGGCTATGCATATTTTCAGGGGAAATTTTATTAAGGGGAAATTTTGTTTCAAAAAGATCAAAACCATATGCATATCCCCGTCTTGTTTGCCATTATCAAAAAGGGGGAAATTGTTGGAACACACTTTGTACGTTAAACTAAAGTCGTGTTCATTTCTGACAGGTTTTGATAATTGCCAAACCGCCGTGGATATGAAGAGTTTTGTTGAATAACTCAAGGCGTGAAGAATGGCTTGGAACAAGACCTAAAAGACTCAAGGACAAGATCAAGAATTGAAGACTTAGTCGAGTCGGTCTTTTGTGATCAAAACCGACAATTTATTCAAGTCTCGGTTCTCAAAAAGTCAAAACAATTTTTACAAACCATAAAATATTTTTTTGTGCATCAAAACAAACATTTTTGATGACTTCTTTTATTGTTAAAAATCCCTGGTCTTTGCTCAGAACCAAAACCACCTAAGTCGGCGTTCGGCTTTCGACGTTCGGTTTTTGGCGCCCGAACCAACTCCGTGGTTTTCAATTTTTTAAACCCTGTTTTTATCTCTGAGCATATTTTAAAGGTTCCCAAATAATTATTTTATAAAAACCACTTTTGTATCTTGGTCAATCGGTCTAACACGTGAAAAACGGTCAAAACCGTACGCACGTGATTTACGACCTTGAAGACTTCGTTTTTACCAAACAAGTCTTGTTTTCACTATTTTATACCATATACAATATTTTTCATACTTGGTTTTTACTTTTGGGAACACTTCGTTTTTGGACCTCAGTTTTTCAAAACGGGTTTCAGCTGGTTAGACTTTAGCTGGGTGATAATCGATTATCACCTTAGTGACAATCGACTATCAGCCACTGCAGCTTTGAACTTCCAAGTTCTGAATAATCGATTATCAGCCTTTGCAGCCAAAACCCAGAATCTTCAAAAAGGACCAATAATCGATTATCACTTGTTGACAATCGACTATCTGGGTTACCGTTGTCTTCCAACGGATAGAATTTTAAATTCTTGGACAGGGAATCTTTGGATAATCGATTATCATGGTTTGACAATCGACTATCAGCCTGTGTCCCTGAAAAATTTGTCTTTATCCTGTTGGAAATTCTAGCAACGGGTTTATCCCTTTTTGGGTTATAAAATGGCACCCAAATCCTCTCTTTTAACACACAATTCTTCAACATTTCAATACTCCTTCATTGCATAAGCATTCTTATTTTTTTTCTTAGCTATTTGAGAGCCAATTCTTGAAGAAATTGTCGTGTTTTTGAGCGTTTACTAGTTCACTCATATATACTCTTTGTGAGAGTTTTATTCCTGAGTGTTTAAGTGTTTTCATACACTTTAAGGGAGTTTGTTCCCTTGTTGTAAACTCAAAGGAAGTCTCTTGTTCCTTCGTGAGAAGTTTTGGAGTGAGGTATCTCCGAGCAAAGGTGTTGAGGCTCGTGTGACTCGGGTTCTCAAGTTGTATCGGTTTGTTAAGCACCCTTAAGCTTAACGGAGTTAGTGTAGCTCGAGAGAGTCTCTCGGGGGGCTGGATTAGCCACACGTTGTGGTGAACCAGGATAAAATCCGGTGTGTTCCTTCCCTACGCTTTTTACTTTAACGCTCTCGTTTTAATTTCCTGCGATTTTGTTTTAAACGCTATTCACCCCCCCTCTAGCGTTGGGCCTTTATTCTAACAGTTTTATCTTAATACATTTAATTATGTTTTATTGTTTTAAGGTAATTTGATGCATAACATTTTCGAATTATTTAAAATAACAAATGAAAGGGGATATGTTAGTGACCAGAATTTTTATATTTAAAATTTATATGGTTGCTTTTTAATGAGCATTGAAAAATTTTCTTCTCTTCATATATAAATCGTTAGTATAGATAAATTAGTTTATGCTAAATAAAAAAAGTTTTATATAAAATTTAATATTAGATGTCAATTTTAGAAGGATTTAACAAATTCTCCATGTGAAAATGAATACTCCAAGAAAAGATAAAAATATATGTTTAGTCATGTTATTTTATAGTCATGTTATTTTGTCAATTATAATCTGCATCCGTAAAAAAATCAAACGTCGTTCATAGGTTGCATAGAAATCATGGATAATTAAAATGTATAATTGTTGATTTATCTAGGTATGCATATAGCTCACTAATTATTTTTTTATCAATTTTGTATTTACATCAATAGGAATAAAATGATGTCTAACCATGACTCTTTAATTTTATTTTTCATTAATTTTTATGAAAAAATTGTTTATACATATTGAATATTTTAAACAATTGAATGGATGAATATTAACAAAGTTGAGTAAAAACATATTCGTATTTAAAATCTTTAAAATAAAATTCAAAACTTTGCAATAAATTTGATATGAAATGGGTGAATATAAAAAAATGTGAGTACAAATTTTAAAACAAAATGATATGCATGCGCGGAAAAAAAGTTAGGCATTGATACGGAATGATCAATGTAAATAACTCAAAGTTCAAATATAATTTTTAAATTGGAAAATTTACTTATATCTAACACGTAATTCATTTATCAAAATGGCAATCAAGCTGTGTTCAACTGAAATAATTGATACTTCATATATATATTCATAGTCAGAGAAATTTACCTAAATAACACTAAAACATAATGACTTTCCCTAAATAGCAACATATGTTTTTTATTTCCAAATGTAGCACTTTTAGTCATTATCCATTAGTTATTATTTAGACAAATGTTCACCGTCACAAGATATTATTTATCTTTCTAGACATTATTAAGTGTTATTTAAGAGATAAAAAGTTTAAGTCTTATTTTGGAAAATTACTTTTGTTTTAGTGTTATTTAGTGCAGATATGAAGAATAAAAATTTTGAAAGATTATATTGGGAAAAAGTCTGAAAAATGAAAAATGAAATATTTGAAAAATGAAAAATGGAAAATTTTAAAAATGAAAAATGAAAAATTTGAAAAAATTTAAGTCTTATATTGAGAAATGACTTATGTTTGAAAATATGAAAAATTATTCTTTTATGAGGATAAAGCACTATTGGCACCAACTCTCGAAGTAGTTGAAATGATAAATGAATTTGTTCTGTCCCTCATTCCTGGTTATGAAAAGGAGTACTTGAGTTCTTATTCTTCGTGCCAAGCAAAAGCAAATGTAGGTGCTGATGAAGATTGGATAACAGTTGAGTTTTTGAACGAAATCAAATGTTTGAGAATCCCAAACCACAAAATAGTCTTGAAAAAGGGTTACCGATTATGCTATTGGGGAACATTGACCAAACATCTGGATTGTGTGATGGGACAAGATTAATCGTTCAAGAGCTGCGAAATAATGTTATCGGTGCAATTGTGGTTTTGGGAAATTGAGTTGGGAAAAAAGTTTACATCCCTAGAATGAATTTGGTACCATCTGATCTAGGGCTAACCTTTAAGTTCCAAAGAAGATAATTCTCGATCACCTCATATTTTGATATAACAATCAACAAAAGTCAAGGTCAAACATTGTCATTTGTGGGATTATTTTTAACCAACTCAGTGTTCACACATGGTCAACTATATTTTGTTGTTTCACGAGTGAAGACAAAGACCGGATTAAAAATATTAGTTCTAGATGACAATAAAAACCCTTACAATCATACCAAAAAAGTTGTATACCCTAAAATCTTTCAAAAAACTTGGTATTAAAATAAAAATTGTTAACTCTTCATTATGTTCCTTAAATATTATTTATTTTACTTTGGCTTTTTTCAATTTGTAGTATTAAAAATCATGTGAGCAATATATTTACTTTATTTTGAAAAATAAATTTCATTAAAATAAATTTAGAATCGACATAAATTTCTTTCGACTCCGTGCATGGCACGGGTCAAAATACTAGTAATAATAATAATACGGAGTAATAATAATAAGAGTAAATTCCATAATTGGTCTTTTATAATATGGGAGTTTCCATATTTAGTCCTTTATTATCAAATATTACTCCCGTAGTCCTTTTTTTAAGGGTACCTTTCCACAAATGGTCCTTTTTTTGATCTTCTGCCGTGTTGGTGTTAATTTAAAAGCTAAAAGTATAATTTGACATCAAACAGATTACATTGTTTTGTTTAGTTTTTAATGCAGAAAGATGTATGAGTAGAATGTATTACGTATATGTATACATTGATGTTCTGAAAAGGAGAAGTTTGAATTCATATGGTGTTTATTGATTTTGAGAAGGCGTACGATAGGGTGCCAAGGAAGGTCATATGGAGGTGCCTTGAGATGAGAGGAGTTCCCATCGCGTACACTCGCGCGATCAAGGATATGTACGATGGGGCTAGGACTAGGGTAAGGACCTCTGGGGGCGACTCTGAGTCATTCTCGGTAGGGATGGGGTTGCACCAGGGGTCGGCCCTTAGCCCTTTTTTGTTCGCCTTGGTGATGGACATCCTAACTAAAGGTGTTCAAGAAGGGGTCTCATGGTGCATGCTTTTCGCGGATGATATTGTGCTTATCGACGACACACGCGAGGGACTAAACCATAAGTTGGAACGATGACGCCTTGCCCTTGAGACTAAAGGATTCAGAATAAGTAGGAACAAGATTGAATACATGGAATGTCGTTTCAGCGGCCGGGAAACAGAATCAGAAGTGGAAGTTAGGATTGACTCTCACGTAGTACCTAAGGTAGACAAGTTCCGATATCTTGGCTCGGTAATCCAGGCGGATGGGGAGTTAGACGGGGATGTTGGACGTCGTGTTGGAGTGGCTTGGGCCAAATGGCGGTTGGCCTCAAGGGTGTTGTGTGACCCGAAGATTTCTCCCAGGATGAAAGGTAAGTTCTACCGATCCGTAGTCAGACCTGCTATGTTATACGGGGCAGAATGTTGGGCGGTTAAGAAGACTCATGTGCGTCGTTTGCATGCGGCGGAGATGCGGATGTTAAGATGGATGTGTGGGAAGACAAGGTTGGATAGGATTTCGAACGAAGTTATCCGACGTCAGGTAGGCATGGCGCCGGTGGAGGATAAGTTGCGGGAAGCGAGGTTGAGATGGTTTGGGCATGTGAGACGGCGGGATGTTGATGCTCCTGTGCGGAGGTGCGAGAGGATCACGGTTATCGGGGGAAGTAGGGGAAGGGGTAGACCTAGGA